AGTAAGCAGCTGTCAGAGAGCTGAGAAGGTAGAATAACCCCCAGAGGGAGAACTCAGCTTCACAGATCTCATAACTAGCTGGTAACCACTGTAATTCCTCTTCCCTACCTGAAGACTCGATGGCGCATCGTCTCAAACAGGTGGCCTAGTTGGTTAGGGTGCTCAGCCCTATTGCAGGGAAGGATCCAGCAGGATTTCTCAAAGACAAGCCTAGTACCAGCAGCAAGACTTTAATGCAGATGTGAAATCTTCAGTGAAGAGCTGAGAAAAGAGACTCTGCATGCAAGTTATCTCAGACCTGGAAATGAGCGCAGAGCCTAGCTGCTAGAGATTTAAAACAAGCATGAGGAGGTCATACAGCATTTTTTTTTTTTCTTCCTTCACCCCCTTCCTCCCTTTGCTCCCCAAAAAGCCGTTTGGAACAACTGGCTTTCCAGAACTCACGCTTCTCTTCTCTACTTCCAGGTACCGGAGCAAGAAGAGACAAACTAACACCAGCGAATACAAGGAAGTTGGTGCCCTGTAGAAGAAATGTTGGCTTCCTACAGTGTTCTGTTCATCTGGATGGACTCAGTGGCTTCCTATCTATTTAAATGTTATTTTTATTAACAATATTTACAATATTTATATCCTTTTAAAGATTTCAATTGTTTGGTGATCCAATCAGTATAGGTCAAGCATTTTATTTTCAGTGTTTTATTTTTTTATTAAATAATATTTCCTAATGAGAACCCAACCTAAGTGGTTCTGTGGGATAGAGATATATTTTTATAAAATCTCATCTGCTTACTCTGAAGAGTAATTTTATATTTATTCTTGTGAATATGCTCAAAACAATTCTACTCCTTGAAATAAAAGTTCTAGACAAATTCAAAATGTCTGTGTGGTTTGACTGACGTGAGACTTGTCATGGCTTGGCTGAGCAGGATGTTTGAAGCCCCAGCAGTTATTTTTGGAGAGACAAACCATAGTATTGCTAATAATATGTATCAATGCACCATAGTTCTAGGGAACATAGCAATTAGCTGGCGTAATTGGAGGAAGACTTACAGGAAGAAAGAGTGCAGATCTTTAAGGTCCCTTCTGACAATTCTGTGCTTTTATCCAGCATGTACTGCATGACAGCAGCATGGATCTCCGCTCATCCACACCCTCAGGAAGGGTGTGCTGGGTGTATTTTGTTTTACAGCAGGGAGGCAGCACAGCAAGTTGATCAGTCTCTGCAGCTGAACACAGTCACACATGGCAGCTCAGGGTATGAGCGTAGCTACAGAAGAAACCTCCCTCAGAACCAGTGCCGGCACTCAAGTCCTCCCTGTAGTGTTCCTGCCATAGTGTCTGTCGTACAGTTGGGAGCAGGGAAGAAGAAAGTTTTTGAGTTTGGGCTTCATGTAGATATCTTGTTGGCATAAAATAATGATAGAATAGCCCGCTGCATTTTGCTGTACCCTGAGTCTGGCTCCCTGTGAAGAGGGAAGATTCTTGCGGCATTGGAACCATCCCTATTAATCCCATTGCTTCTCACTTTCAGAAGACGTGAAAGAAAGCACAATCTTTACATCATTCCTGGTCTTTGCCAGAGGTCTGCAAGCTGCATCAGCCAGCGTTGCCTGGTGTTTATGGGTGTGAGACCTGTGATATCTTGACTTGTGGAACAGGATCTTTGTATGAAGGGTGGTGGGACCTGAGGCATCACAAAGTGCGAGTGCTATTTCAGAAGCGCTCAGCCAGCCAGAGGCCCTCATGGAGGAATAAACTGGCTCTTTCGCTCTCTCCTTAACCTGCCCTCCTCTATTTGATGCTCTTGAGATCAAGCAAATGAAAGGGGGGATCTTATTCTCAAAAGTGACTTTCCTTGATTTTCTGCTATGTGTTTTCCGGTAACAGTTTTCAGCTGAGCTTGTAGGTAGCAGGGCTTAAATCTGCCTTGCAGCATCCTGTAGAGGAAAGCCTGTCTGTGACCTGCTGTGAAAGGGAAGCTGTGAGCTTGTCTGCACACACACACGCAGCACTTCGGCAGAAGGAGGCTGGCTCTGACAATTCATTCGGCCAGGGGTGGTCTTTGGGAATGTAGCTGTTGGTCTCGTGTCCGGAGAAGAGAGGCTGTGAATGGGAACCCAGGAGCATCCCTGCAGTTGGGGCTGGAAGGCAAGGTGGGAAAGGCTTGCCCATGTGCTCTGCTGTGGCCACATGGCCTATACCCCTCTCTTTGGAGAAGATGAGTCATGTGAAATGATAGCTCTGCTTTTTTTCCCAGCTTGATACTCGCTTCCTGGCTTGGACTTACTTTCCCCGCTGTCTTTCCTCTGACAAGCACCAACCACAGCAAAGGTGTGGTCAGGCAGACCTGGGGTATGATGAAACAGCTCTGCCCAGAATCCTCCAGTTTTCATGGCACTTCTCTCCCCAGTGGGGAGTGCATGAGGTGATGAGGAGGAGGAACGTCTGCTTATCAAAACAAAGGTGTGATCTGAGCAGACCCACGTTACGCATGATAGATTGCTCCAGCAACACACAGCAGGAGAGCTCAGGTGCTCTGGGCTGCTCTATGTGAGCTCTGGTTGCAAGGCCATGGCCTGGCATTCAGTTTCTCTCCGTGCTGCTCACTCTGCTGCGTTCACCACAGACCTTCTAGCACACGCTGCTGTCTTTGTCTTTCTCTGGCAGGTATACCACCAGCTTCTGAATGTTGCAGCTGCAATGTCACTTCTGCCTGCTGCAGGCCTGCAGGTAAACAAAACGCAGTCAAGACCTAGGCCTGCTCAGCCAAAGTAAGCAATGCTTTGCTCATTGCCACTTCTCAGGAGGAAAGCTTGGCCAAGCAACATTGACTAAAGACAAGAAAATCTTCCGGATCAAGTATGGCAACGTAGGGGTAGGAGGGACCCCCTTCGCGTGTCCTTATGGCTGCAGGCAAGCTGGCTCTTGCTGTTTGAATTGAGGTCTTATCACAGAACCGCCTGTGTTGATCTGACCGTGGGATATCTTATTCATCTTCTTCAAACACTGGGTTATCCTGTATGCTCGACTTGCTGGGTCTGTGCAGGTAGCCTGTGGCTGCCTTCTGCCATCTTCTGAGATAACTTAAGCCCTCGTTTTTTGGCAGTGCTACAGACCAGTCCTTATCCAGCCCTTACTGTGGGTCAGTCAATGTTTAAGATGGGTCTGGTCAGTACAGATTTTACCGTGGTCTGCCTGGTCATTTCCCTGTGTCTCCCTTCAGCATCGAGTTAGAAGGGGATCGCTGGGCATTCCCAGTTACCTGGGTTAACTCTGTGTCACAGGGCCCTTATTAGCTGCTCTTCAGCTTTTCACTTCCTCTCTCCTTCTGTAATCCAGTTGTCACACAGGAACCTGTTCTGCCAGGTGACTGGTGACAGCTAATGGCAACCCCCACCTCATTGTTAGTGCAGCCATTCCCAGTGGGAAGATGGGATAAAAATCAATTCTTGGAGCCTTCTTCCATTCTTGCTGTGACCCATTTAGGGTACATGGTGACGCATCTTTGTTTCCCCCTCAGGCTTCCCCGCCTGTCCGTGAACTGCTCTGCCCGGTCCCTGTTCATCCTCCAGAAACTTTTCCTGGTCTCCCTGGAGAGACTTGGCCCAGAGGCACACACAGCCTGGCCATGCTTCTACTCCGACTCCCACACGCTGTCCTTTCTGCTCCTCTGCTCCACTTGGCAGGAGCATGTCAAAGGGGGACTCCGTCCTCCCATCCCACCTTTTGTAAATGATGACTCCATGTATCTGAGGTCACATTACTAGAGCTCTGGAGGCCAAAAGGCTTCAGATTCTACCCCTGCCCTGCTTGCTGCCAGCACCTCTGTACCTGAGCAGCCACAGTAGCTAAAGATGCATCTTTCTGTGGCAGCGCTTGGGTCCACATCCCCATTGCTGCACTTGCAGAAGTTTTAAATTGCAGTTACAGCCACAGCCTGGGGTTTATCATGCCTTTAGCTATTTGGGTCAGATAAATCTAAGATGAATAGTCCACTTTCAGGCCTGTGCAGGATTTGTTTGGTTTTTTCTATCTGTCTTAACATTTAGCTGACTGTCTTGATTTGGCTTGGGCTTTCTCCACCTATCCTGTTGCTCATCTTACTCCCAGCCCATAACAGCGCTTCCAGACCCTGTGTTTTTCTCACTCCTGCACATGATTGAGCAACTGAAAAGCTTGGGGCCACATACCAGCCTGCCACCTCAACAGCTTGGGCCGGCTGGATGTAGATTGTCAGTCCAGCAGCCACGCAGCCGGGTCCTGATGACACACCCCAAATAATCTGTCTCAGAGAGTGAACCTCCCTCATTCTTTCCATGGTTTCTGCTGGCACCACCTCCGTCCCTCTGCTGCAGCTCTTCCTCACCCGCACCGCCCACCATCAGAGTCACCTCTGGCTGCAACTCTCTGCTGGCAAGAGTGCCTGCGATGTGCCTCCAAGGTTGCCCTGCCCAGGCCTTCCTCACCAAGCGGCTTCGCCTCCTGCACGAGCGTTAACAGGCTCCTGCCAGGGCACTTCTCCCAGTGTCAGACTGCATCATGACAGAGTAGGTGCATGAAACAGGCGGGGACAGGGGCTAGAGACCAGTACTGGAGAGACCCACCTGATACTGCAGCCATCTACATGTCCTCAGGGCCACCAGCATATCACTCTGCAGTTTCTCTGCCTGGGACACTTTTGCTGGCAGCTCTCTGGAGGACTGGGCAACCACAGCTCCCATCAGCTGCAGTCGTGCTCCATTTGACACCTCCCTATCATTTTAAAACTTACCCCATCCCGCTCCTGCTGTGGGGTTCTTGCCCACAGATCTGTGTATTTTATCTGAAGCCCATTCCAGCCTCTTGGGATTCAGGCAAAGGACAACCAATGCTTGCTTTCAAGCTTGGGGCTGTCTGACCTAGAAAGCAATGGCAACAACTCCTCCCTTAGTGCTCTGTGGAAGGATGGTGCTTTTTGGCAGTAAAGCTTACTGTAAACTCTCTGAAATGCTATGCTTTTGTGCAAATGGTACTGGTGTTAATATTTCCCCTGGTCACAACATACCCGACCTTTTTTAACAAGGCATTAGAAGAAAAATCTTCCCAAAAGTAGCAGCCAGCCACAAAACTGCAAAGAGATCAGAATGGCAGTAGTCATGGTAACTGAAGCCATCCATCACATTACCACTTCTCAAGGGAGAAACTTTTTCAGCATCTGTGGTGTGCCCACTGTTACCAAACCTGGCGTTACCACTACCACAACGTCCGTGGCTACCGCAGGGGTTACAACCAAACCTCCTTCAGTACACTCTTCATCGGTGGCCCACACAACAGATGACATGGCAATGCATTTAACTTGGGAGGCTGACCTCTCTTTCTCCAGGTGCCGTCTTGCCTGTTGCGTGCTTCACGGTAATGTCACTAGAAGTGCTTTGGAAATCTCAGCCCTTTGTGAGTCATGTGTCCCCCTCAGCGGGTTTCCTTGGAGTGCGTCAGCCGGTCATGCCACAGGTTTGCCGAGAGCTGAAGGAAGCCTCCGTGACGGTCTTGGGTTACATCACAGAGGCGGAGGACGTTTGGACAACTGGTCCTAGTCCCCACTGAGGCAAGCCTCGGATTGCACAGTGCGTCTGGCATCTCATCTCGGGGCTGCTCCTGAGGAGGGCAGGTATGGAGCACAGGGAGGAGAGAGGAGGTTAAATGGCCTGGAAAGACGCACAGATCACACACTCATTGCAAATCTGGGCTGGGTCAGTAGCAGTCATCCTTTGTTTATGATGAAGAAAGGATGGTTGGATGGATGGATGGACAGACTGATGAACAGATGGAAGGAGGGAAGAAAGGATGGATGGATGGATGGAAGGTGTTCCATCAGTGACTGTAGAAGTTT